TTGGGTCATCTTTCTTTTTCTACTTTGAGTCATTTATTCCCTGAACTGTTCAAGGGAATTAGTTTGTCCAGTCTTCATTGTGAATCTTGTRAGTTRTCAAAGCATTRTAGAAACAATTWTCCTYTGASCAATAAAAGATCTTCTTTTCCTTTTAATATTGTGCACTTTGATGTGTGGGGGCCTTACCACTTACCATTTATGGGTGGCTACAAATATTTTATCTTGTTTATTGATGACTTTTCTCGGTTCACTTGGATATTCTTGATGAAATCCCGTGATGAAGTTCCAAGACTAGTAAGACAATTCCATGAATTTGTTCTAACCTAGTTTGATACCAGGATTAAAATTTTCAGATCTGACAATGCAAAAGAATATTTTGAGAATAAATTATCCTGCTATCTCTCTGACATGGGGGTTATTCATCAAAGTTCCTATGTTAGGACCCCAGAACAGAATGGAGTTGCTGAAAGAAAAAATAGGCATATTGTTAAAGTTGCAAGAAGTATTTTGTTTGCCTCACATGTTCCTACAAGGTTTTGAAGTGATGTTGTTCTCACTGCTACCTACCTTATGAACCGTATGCCATCCAGGGTTTTAGGGTTTAAGTCTCCCTTCAATCTCCTTCATCCGGACAATGACCTTTTTCCTATTCCTCTTTGTGTCTTTGGCTGCACCTGTTATGTACATGTTCCAAGTGTCCAACGGCATAAATTTGAACCAAAAGCCCACAAGTGTATCTTCCTTGGTTATTCCCCCACACAGAAGGGTTACTGTTGTTTTGATCCAAAGACTGGCACTCGGTATGTCTCAATGGATGTCACCTTTGATGAGCTTTCCCCCTTTTATGGTTCCTCTCCAGAAAGACATTGTCCACAGGGGGAGGATTTGTCACAGGTGTTTGCTCTTCCTCTTCTTGTCCCAGTTGAGTCTTTTGATGAGTCTGCTTCTACTTCAAATGAATCAAGGAAGGATCAGTCGTTCCATTCTCCCTATCCCATTGTTCTTCCTCCTTTACCTCCTCGTCCTATCCTCAATCCCAAGGTGTATCAAAGGCAAAGATCCAGAAATGAGCAGGTTGTTTCCCTTACAACACATGAGCCTCATGCACTTCCAGTCACAGATGAGACAACAAGTACTGTTTCAGCCCCCTTGGAGCCATCTTTCCCTGACCTTGATATTCCCATTGCTGTTAGGAAAGGAAAACGGAAGTGTACTGCACATTGCATTTCCAAACACCTTTCTTACAGTCTGCTTTCCCCTTCATACTTTGCCTATCTCCCTTTTGTTGCCTCTAACCATATTCCCAGGTCTGTGTCCGAAGCTCTTAATATTCCAGAATGGAGGGATGCTATGAGATCTAAAATCGATGCCCTACACAAGAATGACACTTGGAAAGTGGTTGATTTGCCTGAAGGGAATGATCCAGTTGGTTGCAAGTGGGTCTTTACCATCAAATATCAGGTTGATGGCACCATTGAGAGGTACAAGGCCAGGCTGGTTGCAAAAGGCTATACACAGACATATGGGATTGATTATCTGGAGACCTTTGCACCTGTTGCCAATATGACATCTGTGAGGGTTCTTCTATCTCTAGTTGCTCACTCTGACTGGCCCCTTTATCAATTGGACGTAAAGAATGCATTTCTGAATGGTGAATTACATGAGGAGGTTTATATGTCTCTTCCTCCARGGATGTATGGAACWGATATGAAAKGRAAKGTATGCAGGCTGAAGAAATCTCTTTATGGACTAAAACAGTCCCCTAGAGCATGGTTTGAGAGATTTAGAACA